ACACGGATCAATGGCGGGAGTTCGAGGCGGGCCTGTTCCATGGGGTCTGCCAGCTGTTGGGCATCCACAAGACCAGGACGACTCCGTTCCACCCTCAGTCCGACGGCATGGTCAAACGGCTCAATTGTACCGTGAAGACCATGCTGAGCGTGTTCGTGGATGAGAATCAGGACGACTGGGACGAACATTTTCCCTACGTCGTGATGGCCTACCATTCCTCCCAGCACGATAGCACCAGGCTCACCCCGAACATGTTCATGCTCGGGATGGAGGTGGGACTTCCCCTGGACGTCGTCTTGGGGTCACCGGAGGAACGGTCGGAGACTACCTAGGCACTAAATCACGTCGACGAGCTGAGAGCGAAGCTCACGCGGGCCCACGAGTTTGCCCGACGACATCTGAGGCGGACTCAGAGCTACCAGAAGCAGCAGTACGACCGTCGCGCCCAGGAGGGCGGGTTCGAGCCCGGCCAGGCTGTTTGGCTGTTCACCCCAAAGAAGAAGGTCGGCCGCTCCCCCAAGCTGCAACGGTGGTGGGACGGACCCTTCGCGGTGCTACAACGCCTCAACAACGAAGGCTTGGATCGTGCATCGCAATCGGCTCAAGCGCTACCTGGGCGACGTGCAGCTTGGATGGTGGGAGCGCGAAGCCCACAGAGCCTTGGCCGAGGGGGCGCCAGCACGGGCAGGGGGGCAAGGAGCCAGGGGATCCGGCCCTCAGTCCTGCCCGCGGGGGCCGTCTCCCCCCGTTGACGAAGGGACCGCACTGGAACCTGTTGACGGGGCAAAGTCGGGACGCCCTGGGCAGGAGCGGCGGCGTGTCGAGCAGGGAGAGCTCGGATATAAGCAGCCAGGTAGGCAGCGCGCCGGCGGAGCCATCGCCTTGCGAACCGGAGGCGGGGGGAGCGTGTGTGACTCGCAAGGGGCAGCGCGTTCGGCGCCCGGTGCGATTCTGCTCTACGCTAACTCCTGAATCTCCCTCTGTTTCTCTCCCCGGGATGGACCGGTTGGCCTGCCCCCACTGTCAGCGAGAATTCCGCCAGCGGACCAACTTGCGGCGACACCTGAGGTCGGCATGTATGGAGCTGTTCGCCACCCGGCCCTATACCTGTGAGTGTGGGTGTGGCCGCTGCTTCTACCGCTCGGACATGCGGGATCGGCACCACCGACACTGCGACTACGTCCTCGTCGGCCAGATCCAAGCCGAGGACCCTGACGTCCCGGAGGTCTCCGCCAGTGGCGGGGAGTTGGGGGGTGACGAGTTCCCCATGGAGCAGTCTCTCCCCCCCTGCCGGTCCTCTGGAGGGAGCCGCCCAGACCCACCCCCGGTCAGCTGCTGCAGGTGAGCCCCCGCCACCGGTGCCCTCTCGGCGCCGAAGGCGGGGGTTGCGAGGCCGGCCGGAACAACGAGACCCGTCGGACTCGCCTTGCAATGCAGCCCTGGGCCCTCAGGCCCCCGCGGCGGCCGGGACCGCCCCCCTGCGCCACTCAGTAGAGGCGGGGACGCAGACTGAGGAAGAACCCCCAGCTCCAGTTTGGCCACCAGAGACACAGACACCATGATGGACCCACCCCTCTGTGAGCTTCACCACAGCCAGTGGCGGTCGGAGGTCCAGCGGGAGCCCCCTCCACCGCCCACCGGAGTCCGCCCCCCTGGAGCAGCGAGGCAACGCCGGTGGGCACCACGACGACCGGAGTCTCCTCCACACTGGACCCCTGGATCCCCCACATGGTAGCGGAGAAGACCCTTGGAACCCACCAGACTTGTACTTGTTGCTTGTTTTCACTCTTTGTAAGCTGCGCAGGGGCGACCGGGATGGCCTTGGGCCGGCCCGCCGGGTTGCGGCACCTCGTTCGGGGACGAATAAGAGTCCTCGAAGGGGGTGGTGTAGTGCCGGCCGGTCCGGCCGGTGGGGGCGCCAGCTCAGACCCGCATGGAGTTGGCTGGCTGCCCACGCTGGTATGCGAACGGCCAGCGGTTTCCCGCCTTGCGCCTGCGCAGTCCCTGCCGACAGGCGCCATGTTTGGAGTTGAGCTGAGAGCACATTGTGGTGTACGCTACAGCAATAAAACACAGATTTCGTGACCAAAACAGCGAGTTGCAGCTGAGTGTCATTCTTTACCAGCGTCGAACCCTGTTCAGCGGGACACGCTACAATATCATGGAGACAGCTAGACAGTTTCTGTCTGACTGCTGTGATGATGTTGTTATGTACCACTGAGGCGAGGAGGTTTGAATGAGGTTCCATCACCATCCACTTAAAGAGTTAATGGCTAGTACTGTATTTATTATTGAAAACCTTCATCATAAGCTGAGTGACCTGGCGGTCCAATTTGCTTGATAGCTGCCTTGAGTTACTGGTTGAATGAACAGTTAGTTTTTCAGTGTACATATGCAGCATTAGGCTGCCTCTTTTTTTTCTAAGTTGTGGAAACTGGTAGCCTTTTGGAAATTCGCCGCCCTTTTATAAGTGCCTTTATCACCAACATCATTTGCCTAAGTGGATTCTGATCTCATCACATGATGTTCACTAGATGTTTTCAAAGACTACTGTTAAGATCTTGGACGTGTTAGCTTTGATCTGTTGATGCATTTTCGTGTTTTGTTTATGGCTTCAGCATCGACTTGCATCTCTTGCTCTTGCTACTATGCTTTGGATATTTCCCTGCGATGTTTTTGTCATCTCATGCTGTGTTTTTCTTTATGCAAAACCAGCCGGATGTGTACTGCACATGATATATTGAAATGAATTGAAAGAGTGACTTGACTGCGAAGCATCAAAAAAGTTCAAGCCTGTAATGACTATTTACTATCTGTGTATACCGTACGTCATGGCTTTAAATGAACCTAAGAATTTCAAACTTGCTACTGTAATGGTCATTATTGGATGGATCGGTGTACATGCCATTTGCAAACCAGGTTGGATGGAACATGGCTCGTCTTGCTACATCTTTACAGGTCAAGAGATGAATTGGGAGAATGGAAGTATATGCTGCCAAGGGCTTGATGGGATGCTGTTGGTTGTTGAGACAGAGGAAGAAAATGACTTCATCGCTCAAGAATTGATAAATCGGAACATGTCAGAGGCCTGGCTTGGTTGCAATGATAAGGTCACAGAGGGCACATGGGTTTGTTATCCTGAAGGTGTCAAGAGAATGCAGTATGAGAACTGGGGGGAAGGACGACCAAGTAATTATAAAAACCAGGACTGTGCAACAATTGACATCCAGACTCATGATGGCCAGTGGAACGATAGATGGTGCAGCAGCAGTAGGTACACTGTATGCGAGACAACCAGCAGCAGAGTCCCCGCCATGTCCTGCTATAGTCTGGGTTTTGATGGACACTTTCTTTTTAAGCTCCCCTGAAGGCTCCAATGGATTGATGTCCATCCATGGTATGGTGGTTTGTATTATCTTTCCTTCCCCTCAGGTACTGAATTGAAGCAGTCGTGTTTTCATCAGCTGACTACACAGCACTCTCTTCTCCCTTGGCACAAGCTGTAAGCTCATCAGCTGCTTCCTGAAGTAATTGGATGCTAATTAGTAATCTCATAATTGCCATCATCATGTGATGGAAGTGGCTTTTGATGACATTGTTAATGTTTTTCAGGCTGATGGGGTCCCAGACATCTGTTCTCCTATTGGTTGTTTCTTTTAGTTTTGTGGCTGCCTGTTGTTACTGCAGTGTCCTTATCATCATCACCATAATTTGTCTCATGCTGTTTTCACTCGATATCACCAAATAGTGCTGCTCACATTTTGTAGTGGTTACCTGCATATCCTTGCTGATCAATCTTGTGTTCTGTTGATGATAACAGCATCTTCTCACATCGTTTTTTCTTGTTACCAAGCTTTAAATGGTTCCTTGGTCTAATTGCTTCGTCAGCTACATATGTATCTGTACTTGAACCGATACTGTTGGAATGAATAAAAAGTACATGTATAATGGCAGTGACTGAACATCGGAACCTCAAGTCGGCCATCATTATTGTAACTACTGGATTCATTGTTGGAAACTGTGCCATTTGCACACTGGGATGGCTGAAACATGGCTCTTCTTGCTACAAGTTTGCAAGTGATAAGATGACTTGGGAGAATGGAAGCACATACTGCCAAGATCTTGGTGGGATGCTGTTGGTAATTGAGTCAGAAGAAGAGAATGACTTCATCACCGGAAAACTGAGAAATCTCAATATGATAAGGGCTTGGCTTGGTTGCAGTGATAAAGACTCAGAGGGCACATGGATGTGTTATGCTGATGAAGGCATAACAAGAATGCAGTATGAGAACTGGGCAGATGAGAAACCAAACAACTTTCGTGGCCAAGATTGTGGAGTAATAGAGAAAAATAAAGATGGCAAGTGGAAAGACAGAGGTTGCAACATTCTTAGGAGCACCATATGTGAGAAAAGCAGTAGAGTCTCTACCATGTCCTGCTATAGTTTGGATTCAGATGGCCGCTTTTACCCCTAAACCTTACATCATCATCTAAGCAGTTCAGCTATTTCTTACGGACACACTGGTGTGAAAAGCGAGAGCCACAATTTCTTCTCTTACTCATGAATAGATGTTCCGCTGATGTGGATACAACTACGGGGAACTACAACTGACAGCCGATATGCTGACTGCGGAAAGTACTAGCTGTTCACAATAGTATACATGTAGTAAAAGCTATATGACATCTTTATTTGTGAACATCACTGTAAAACAACCACGAGTTCCAGAGTCTTTACTGACCGGTCAAATTTTGCATCCTTTATCTGGCAACACAGATTTGTGTTGTTATAATGTCACAAAGCTGGAGTCAAGTAATATCCTCAAGGGCGTCAATCCAGTTTGAACAGTGGGGGACATGTAGCCCTGATCTGAACAAATGCGAGCGCTAAGTGCGAAACCCTGAGTGATGTAGGGTCCGGGGCTTTTTGCAAGGTATACATTTTCATTTAGGTTTTGGAAAAAACTGGGGGGGGGGACATGTCTCCCCCGGTCCCCCACCGATTGACACCCATGCATATCCTCACAATTGCTTCACACCTACCTCATACAGGGGCATAGCAAAGTCATTTTCATGGAGGGGGGTTTGTGCCAGAGTCAATTTGCAGATTATGAACTTGTTCGTCAAACTCGTGTCGTGTAAAATGAAAATCTGTGGTATTTTACATCTCATGCTTCGCGGGAAATTCCGACGGCCAACATATATTGTTTATTTACCAATTTTGGATTCATTTTCCAACTGAAGCTATATTTGCTGACTGGAATTTAATTATTGGGGGGTGCTGCACCCCCACACACCCCCCAAGTCGCTACGCCCCTGACCTAATATCATAAGTGCATTATATAGGTACATGTCATTTTCTCTAATGCCACTTGTTATTTAAATGAACTATGACAAAGACATTGCTCTGTGGTTGTATTGTTCTCCAACTGTTTGTAACGGCAGTACTTGAAAGTTGAAACTACTTGTGAAAAAATCGACTACAACTTTTTGTTATAGATAGCTAGGTGTATTTAGCAATACTTAAGACACTGTTCAGAAAATAGAAAGCACTTTTAACGAGCTCTTGTGTTTCTTGTTGTTTTGTGAAATGGTTAACATTGTGGCAAAATGTCAATAGCCACAGTGGAATTTCAAATCCTTCAAACATTTAGAATGAAATCTTTGCTGTAAGTAGTGTTGTGGAACATTGATTAGATGATGGGGGTATGGTTGCAGTTCATACTAATATCAGTCTATAACAGGAGTACAATGTTAGTGAAAACTATCAAAATTCAGCAAGTTCCTTTAACAGTAAAAATAGTGATAATTAATTGCAAACATTAAATGTCATTTTAAGTACTATTTGCACAATTCTAACAATCTGTTTTCAATGGTTAAAGTGCACACAATTCAAGTAACAATTCTATCATAATCTATCACACAACCATGGACTATACCCATGGATAACACTGTTTCACTGTGTTCATGCATAGTATACACAGTCGGTGCTCTTTACACGTAGACGGAAGGTTGCACGGCACACGTAACAATGTCTGCACATTGACGGCTCTTCACACAAACACAAAATCTTGTGGGATAAATGTGTAAAACATTAACATTTTAAATCTCTTAGAGGAGGAAATGTCATGTGAGTAGTCGGCTTGGTTCTATAATAGAAAAAATGAATAGGTTATCAAATGAATTGAGCAAATTGTAAGACACACAGGATCAAATGTTCATCTGTATTAAAGATCAGGGTTTTATTGGACCATCTCACTTCTCACAGTTACAGGGAGATCTACTCGCCTAAGAACTCGGCTTTCTCATGTCTAATTTTTAGAAAAGAAAAACTTGACCAGAAGATATTTCTTAAGACCTCTGATGGCTTGACATGTCAACCAATGCACAACAATGACATCAGAGAAAATATCAGGGATTCTACCCTTCTCCTCAGCTCTTTTAGGGTTTAGCGTACTAAGGCGGACTGTGGAAACTTAAGGATGCAGTTTTCCTTTGTACTAGTGACTTGTACACTGGGTTCAGAAATGATTTATTCGGGTTCAGTATCAAACAAATAATAAATGTTGCACATTCATGTAGTGACAAATAATTTGATTTGGTAACAAATTGAATGTTCTGTTCCATTCGACCTTGCCTCATGGAATGGAACTGAAATTATTCTATCCATTCCACTTGTAAACTTCTACTATTTGTAAACTATTTAACAATTATTCCCTGTCACAGACTGCTGTACAAAACATAAAAATGAGAAAGGTGTCTTTGAATAAGAACAAGAATGGAAAGAAACATGTGCAACGAGGAAAATGGCACACTATGGGGAACTCGCAAAACAACCAAAAAACTCAAACTAAACCAAGGATCTTCGAGGGAAAAGTCACCGGAAACTGAATTAATAAGGACTCGGACATCAAATTGGAATTCAAAAAAAGGACACAAAAGAATTTATTAATGAAAAAGTACTAAAAAAAATGCAAAACCCCAAGGTCTTAAGGACTAAAAGAACTTTGAAAGGACTAAAACTAAAAGACTAAAAATTTAAAAAGACTGAAAACCAAACCCAACACAGTGTGAAAAATGGACCTAATGAGGAGAGTTTGGCTTTTGATCACTGACTTCTAGCAGAATAGGGCTCAAGCAGAAAACCACACTCCAGTTAGGAGGAACAATACATGTGAAGGTGACTGGTCTCTGCTGATCTGCTACACTGAGTGTGACCAGACTAGGGGGAAGCTGTGGCTTAAACAAATAAACAGGGGGCTCACTACTAAAAACATCAAGAACTCCAAACTAAAGATAAACATTTTTAAAGGGGAAGTACTTCTATGTAAAATGTGTATTCAATAACATAATCATTTCTGGCTATGCATGCAGTGAAAATGTTTGACAAGATGAAGAAACCTAGACTCTGGACAAAAAAGCTGAATGGACAGTGATGTAGCCTTCCTTTTTCTTGTAGGGCATGAGAATGTGAACTTAAAAATTTGAATGTTTCTTGAGGGTATTTGCTACTCATAATGAACAATGATTAGTGACATTATAAATGAGTGTTCATTTGATACCTGCCAAGCAATTAACTGGTATACATGTGTACTTGTAAATATGTGGCGGGAAATATTGATTACTGAATTGCAACAGCCTCAAAGAGCTGGGTTATTTTTGGCCATTTCACAGCTTAAATGGGCTTTGCTGTTTGGAAATTTGGCAGGCATATAAAAGCACTCCTTTTCATTACAAACGTAAAGTTTGAACTCAATTAGATATATAGGGTTTGTTACAGTCATTTGAAGTTCAAAGTTACTTGCATGTCAGCTCATGTGCATTGAGCGCCGCAGTGAAAAATTATGCATATTTGGTCAACCTGTCTCAGGAAAATGGGCACTGCGCTAGAGCGGTATGTTTGATTTTCGTAAAATGTGAGTCAAAATAACTGCAAAGAGTTATTCCAAAAGACTCCAACATGCAATGTGGTAATATTGGAAAAACGCCGGGAAGGGGTTTGGGGTTATGAGAAACTTTATCTATTGATGATGAAAGGTAAGTTTGAAAATGGCTGACTTGAGGAGGAGGTAAATTTCATTGATATTCCGTGATATCACAATATTCAAGTAATTTGTTTCTGTCTTTTCCTTAATGGCATTACCCTATATCAGGTAGAAATCCCTACATTTAGTATTTCATCGAGACGGCTAGACAGTTTCCGTCTAATTGCTGTGATGATGTTACATACCACTGAGGCTAGGAGGCTTGAACAAGGTTCCATCACCATCCACTTAACGAGTTACATGTACAATGGCTAGTACAGTATTTATTATTGACAACATTCGTTATAAGCTTAGTGAGCTGGCAGTCTTGTTTGCTTGATGGCTGCCATTACTGGTTGAATGAACAGGTGGTTTTTAAGTGCACATGCAGCATTAAGCTGTCTCTCTTTTTCATGGACACCAGTAGCCTTTTTGGACATTCGCTGCCTATTTATAAGTGCCTTCATCACCATCATCATTTGCCTGAGTGGCTCCCAATGTCACCAATCATTTTGTCAAAGAGTGCTATTTTGATCCCGGAGCAGTTAGTTTTTGATCTGTTGATGCATTTGTGTTTGATTGATGGCTTCAACATCTTCTTCCATCCTTTTCTCTTTTCACTCCTCTCTGGATACTGGTATTTCCTTGCAATGTTTTCATCATCCATCTCATCCTGTGGTGTTTCTTCATGCAAAGCCAGCCAGTGATGTACTTCAGCTAATGTGTGGAAGTGAATAGAAAGTGTGACTTGACTGCAAGTCATCAAAAAAGTAGGAGCCTACTTGTGCAACAACAATTTTCCTCTGTTTACTACCCACACGTTATGGCTTTAAATAAACCTAAGAATTTCAACCTTGCTATTTTGATGGTCATTACTGGATTGATTGGTGTAAATGCCATTTGTAAACCAGGTTGGATGGAACATGGCTCATCTTGCTACAAGTTTACTGATCAAGAGATGACTTGGCAGAATGGAAGCTCCTACTGTCAAGAGCTTGATGGGATGCTGTTGGTTATTGAGACAGAGGAAGAAAATGACTTCATCGCTGAAATACTGAGAAATCTCAACATCTCATGGGCCTGGCTTGGCTGCGGTGATAAAGTCACAGAGGGCACATGGGTGTGTTATCCTGAAGGTGTCAAGAGAATGCAGTATGAGAACTGGGGGGAAGGACGACCAAATAATAATAATAAAAACCAGGACTGTGCTACAATCGACATCAAGAAGTATAATGGCCAGTGGAATGATAGATTGTGCAGGATCAGTAGGTACACTGTATGTGAGACAACCAGCAGCAGAGTCCCTGCCATGTCCTGCTTCAGTCTGGGTCCTGATGGACACTTTCTTTTTAAGCTCCCCTGAAGGCTCCAATGGATCGACATCCATCCATGGTATGGTGGTTTGTATTAGCTTTCCCCAATCTGGTTACAAGCTGCCATGATTTCCGGACATA